CCTATAAACCCTAATGAACAAACCCTTATAAACACTAATAAACCTCTATAAGCCCTCATAAACCCTAATAAACCCTTAGTAACCTTTATAAACCCTAATAAACCCTTAAAAACCTTAACAAACCCTCATAAACCCTTATAAACCCTAATAAACGCTAACAAACCCTAACAAACCCATGTATAAACCCTATAAAAACACTCGCCATCACTCTGCAACAGGAAATTTTATTTTCCCTAAACCCTAAACCCTAAACCCTAAACCCTCAACAAGCAGCGATAGCTACTACTACTCACACTCAAAACACTACTCACCCCCAAACCCTAAACCCTAAACCCTAAACCCTAAACCCTAAACCCTAAACCCTAAACCCTACCATAGCTAGAGGAGATAAGTCCATAATTTCCCTGGCTTTGTCTCTCAACGTACGACAAAACAAATCACCGAAAGACTCATAGGCAACCAAAGGGTATCTGCTGTCTGCTGCTGCTGCGGGCTGCGTACACACAAACCCTCGAGGGTTTAGGGTTTATGAGGGTTTATGAGGGTTTAGGGTTTATGAGGGATTAGGGTTTAAGAGGGTTTAGGGTTTAAGAGGGTTTAGGGTTTTCACGAGAACTAGGAGCAGCAAAAAATGCAGACACGCCGCCGCAGCGCAGCAGCGCAGCGAATCGCTGCAAGGCTCAATCAATCGAGGGTTTAGGGTTTAGGGTTTATCATTAGGGTTTATTTGAACCTGCAAATGAAGAAATATAGACATCAACAGAGGCCGCAGAGACACTGGAATCCGCCAAGCCATCAACCGCCCCAAAAGGCGGGAACGAGCCCTTCCAAAGACCAGACGGAGACAGAAGAGCTGCACATACACCCCAAACCCTAAACCCTAAACCCTAAACCCTAAGCCCTAAACCCTAAACCCTAAGCCGTGAACCCTAACGACTTCTTCCAGATGCAATATGAAAACAATATAGCTGAGCATACACCCTAAACCAGATACAACATGAAGACAAACAAGATGCGCGTACGCCCCAAACTCTAAACCCTAAACCCTAAACCCTAACAAGACCTCCCAGATACAAGACGAAGATAAAACAGCTAAGCATACGCCCCAAACGCTAAACCCTAAACCCTAAACTCTAAACCAGACACAACACGAAGACAAAATAGCTGCACGTACACCCCAAACCCTAAACCCTAAACCCTGAACCCTACACCCTAACGACCTCTTCCAGAAACAACACGAAGACAAAAGAGCTGCGCATACACCCCAAACCCTAAACCCTAAACCCCAAACCAGACGGACCACGAAGACAAACTGCACATACACCCCAAGCCCTAAACCCTAAACCCTAAATACTAAACCCTAAACTAAACTCTGAAGACCTTTTCCCGATACAACACGAAGACAAAAGAGCTGCGCATACACCCCAAACCCTAAACCTTAAACCTTAAACCAGACACAACAGGCAGACAAAATAGCTACGCGTACACCCCAAACCCTAGGCCCTAAACCCTAAACCCTAAACACTAACGACCTCTCCCAGATACAACACGAAGACAAAAGAGCTGCGCATACACCCCAAACCCCAAACCCTAAACCCTAAACCCTAAACCATACCCCAGTAGGACGGTTTTTTGCAGTAGACGGCTCTGGCGAAGCCGCTTGCAGATCCACCCCAAACCCTAAACCCTAAACCCTAAACCCTACCACCCCGTAAACCCTAAACCCTAAACCCTAAACCCTAAACCCTGGTGTTTGGATTACCTTGTTTGGAGATTGAACATCTGCTGCATTCCCTGTAACAGCAATAGCTTCTCTGAATTTGTTTGCTGCGACCCATGATAGACAGCCCGTCGTTGCTAACAGCAGACTCAAACTGCGGCTGCCTCTCCAGCGGAGAGAAGGCGCCCAAAGACGCCGCATCATCATATATGCTGCTGCTGCTGCTGCTGCTGCTGCTGCTGTGGCTGCTGCTGCGGAGGCGGCGGTGGGTGATGCTGCAGCTGCGGCTCGTGGTGGTGGTGGTGCTGCTGCTGCTGCTAATTACTATATCCCTGCTGCTGCAGCGGAGACGGAGGAACTACACTTTAGCTGCCCTCCCCTCCTGCTGCCGTTGTTATTGATGCTGTTGCTGCTGCTGCTGCTGCTGCTGCTGCCGGGCCAGGACGGCAGCAGCAGCAGATGCTGCAGCAGATGGAGGCAACAATCAAGCGGTGTGTACGAGATCTCTGCTGCAGTAACAGCGAATTAAAGGTAGAGGAGCGCTGCTTCAGCTGTTTTCGCTGCTGCTGCTGCTGTGGCTGGTGTGGCTACCGCTGCTTCTGCTGCTGCTGCTGCTGCTGCTGCTGCTGCTGCTGCTGAGGCTCCAGAGGGGAAACCCAACAGCAACACACATCCAGACAAAACGGAAAAATCGCCAAAGAGTCAACTCGCTGAGACTTTAGGGTTTAGGGTTTAGGGTTTAGGGTTTAGGGTTTGGGCTTGCTGCAGCGGCCTCTAGGGTTCTCACCACGCAACACCGCATGCAGCAGCAGCAGCAGCAATAAAACGAAGAAAATATTTCGTGTTTAGTTTTAAGGTATTTGTTAGAGAGGAGCAGCAGAGGCGAAGAAGGGCCAGGCAAGCGATTGCTTCAGCATGGTGGGTGGCAGCAGCAGCAGCAGCAGCAGCAGCCGTAGCAGCAGCAGCAGCAGCAGCTGCAGCAGCAGCCGCTGCCGCCGCCACAGCAGCAGCAGCTGCTAAACATCCTATTGTTTACGCATGCTGAGCAGCAGCAGCAGCAGCATCAACAAGAGCAGCAGTATTTTTCTATTATATCTTTCGTCTGTATCTCTGTCTGTCTGAGCGCAGCAACTACAATACAACCAGAACCAGCACAGCAGCAGCAGCAGCATCAGCAGCATCAGCAGCATCAGCAGCAGCAGCAGCAGCAGCAGCAGCAGTAACGATGGCTAACTTCAGGGGTAGTATATATAATCTACGCTGCTTTCTTAATGATGTCCGTTCGCTGTATCCGCCGTGGGTCCCCTTCACCTTCTTCGGCGCCCCCTGTTTATATAATTTGTTCGGTATGTCAAAATATAAACAAAAAAAATACTTTGAGAATAAACCCGTCGTAGATGCCAGCAAATTCGGGGGCCCTAAGGCTGCTGCAGCAGCACCAGGCCACTGATTTAAACTCCTGCTGCTGCTCCTGCTGCTGCTGCTGCTGCTGCTGCTGCGGTGGTGGTGGTGGTGGGGGCTGTCCCCGTCGCAGCAGCGGTGGCGGCTACTGCGCCTGCAGCGCGCATGCAGCAGCAGCAGTAGCAGCACCAGCAGCAGCAGCAATGCTTGAGGAGATGGAGCTGCAATAGCTGAGGAGATAGCAGCAGCTGCAGCTGCTGCTGCAGCTGCTGCTGCTCAGCATCACCAGCAGCAACTGCAGCAGCAGGTCCGCGAGCAGCTGCTGCTGCTGCAACAGCGGCAGCTGCAGCGTTGGTCTTGCTGCTGGCGCAGCAGCTTATGCTGCCCATGCGACGACAGCAGCAGCACAAGCAGGAGCAACAGCAGCAGCAGCAACCGATTCTTATGAGACATTCTGAATAACAAGCCTACAGAGCACTCAGCAGCAGCAGCAGCAGCAGCAGCAGAGGCTTGAATATGTTAAGAGCCAAAGCAGCCAGCAGCTGACCGTTTTTGAGCAGCTGCTGCTGTTGCTGCTGCAGCAGCAGCACCAACAGCAGCTCCTGTTGTTGCAGCAGCAGCAGCACAAGCAGCAGCACTTGCTGCTGCTATTATTTTTGCCGCTCTACGGTGGCTATTGACTATAGACAGCCCGCCGTCCTTCATTTGTTGCAGCTTCTCTCTAGGGTTTAGGGTTTAGGGTTTGGGGCAGTGCCCCTGCTGCTGCTGC